AAATAAAAAAAAAAACACAGAAAGAAAAAGATTTGTAAAGTTTTATTTTTAAAAAAAAAAAAAAAAAAAAATGCCAAAAAAAAAAAAAAAAAAAAAAAAAAAAAAAAAAAATCTGTATTCGGTTACTTTTAGTCATACAGAGTTCATTTTGGTACCAAACTGTTCAGAAGACTCCTGTTTCTATTCGCTATAATAGAACATTTCTCCAATAAAGTACCAGGAAAAAAGTTATTACCAAAAACACACATTTTTGACCAAAAAACATATTTTTTAAATAATTTTCTTGTTTTCAGAGCTAGAATATTTCCGCTTATTCAATGGTGACAAATAATAGCTAAAGTGATAATGATAAATAATAAATATTTAAAAAGAAATTCTAACTAATAAGTTATGCATAATATATAATTGGTTTAACTTCAAAAAAAGCCGGTTAAAACCAGCTTTAAAAGTTAAAAAAGTTAATTCGGTTTTACCAAATTATAACATTTTTTCAAAATCTGGAAAACTCGGTAACTCTGTGTTATATTTGTTCAGGAGAGTTGAATGTGGTCTCATATTACTCAGAAAATATATATTTCTATTAGCTGTAATGAAACATTTTTTCAAAAAATTAACATGAAAATATTTATTAGTAAAAAACCCTGAAAAACACATACAGTACTTTTTACAGTTTTCTAATTTTAAAGGCCGTAAAATGTTTTAATTCATTGAATCCTGGCAAATGAGCTTTTGACATTAATACATTAAAAAAAAAAATTCTTATACTTATGTTGCATAAGATACTTCTATAAAAAGTCGGTTTTGGTAAAATTTGGCAAAATCAGGAAAACTCAACAACTCTGTTTTTATATGTGCAGTAGAGTTGAATTTGGTCTCATTGCATTATCACTCAGAATAAATATATTTCTATCAGTTGTAATGGAAGATTTTTTCCAAACATTACCAGGAAAATATTTATAATAGCAAAAACCTCTTTTCTTGGATAATTTTTACATAATTTTTATAATTTCCATAATTGGCTGTTAAGGAGGAAAACATAAAGAAATAGTTTGCCTGTATCTGCTAACCTCATATATGCAGGCACAGTTAGTCCAAATGGCATGTCTAAATCAGCACTAACATTCACAGTGTGTGTGTGTATAGCCACAATATTGAAAGTTATCGGCAGGGATATTTTGGGTGGACAATTAAAAATAAAACTAGTTCATAATATCATTGTTCAATTTGAATTTCTTAAAAAAAAAACCTTTTTAATAATGCTAGTCTTGTGTGACATGTAATGGTCAAGTATTCAGTAATTTAATGAATGTTAAAGCAAAATTTGATTTGTATCCGACCAGTTTGCCGAGCTCTAGATTGCCAAGTAAGCAACAACATTTATTAAATACAAATCAATAATAACATGACAACGTAAAGTATTGGGTAAATGGATGTAATTCGGATTATTGGGGTTTGTTTACAACCCCAATTTGCCAAATCCCAGTTTGCTAACACAAAAATCATGATACCCACTTTTCTGACACCCAGTTTGCCGAAATTCAGTTTCTGAATGCTGACCCAGTATTCTAAATCAGTATGTTTACTATTCTACCTGCAAAAGAACAGGGAGAAGCAGCCTACTTTGTTGGTAAACGTGATGGACGGTTTGAGCGGAGCCGTATGCCTATCAGATGCTTACCCAAGCTTAGACAAAATATATGATTCTGTTTACTAGAAAAATTGATAGGCCTAGTTTGTGTCATTATTCACATCACTATTGACGATACAGCTGCGGTGTTCCAGTGGCGGTTTAAAAAATTTCAACGTTAACAAAGAACCAATCTAAGTGACTAAAATTAACATGGTTTCTTAGCCAGTGTCTATAGCAAAAAAAAAATGTTTCTACATGCTTGATCATTATTAAAAAGATTGAAATTAATTTTGGCGTTGGCATTTATTTAATCGATAAACATATATTTATATACTTTAGTGTGTGAAGTAAATATATGTATCAATAGCTGTTTAATGTGCGCCTTTTTAAATGTTTAGTAAATTTGTTTAGGTAATATAATATTAAATTGTGTGTATCACACTGGATTTCGAACAAGTACGATTCAGCAAACTGGGTTTAACAACGTTTGAATCTGCAATTTAACATTCGGCAAATTGGGTTTTGGCAAAGTGGAGTTTTATCATTTGATTTACTATTATTCATTGCGTGTTATGAAATAGCTTGAGAAAATATGTGTCGTAATGTATTCCGAGCAATTTGGCACTAAATTCAACACAGATACTAATAAAGTTACGGATTATTTCCTAATTTTTGCAAAAACATTTACCAAACCAATGTTTTTAAAGTATAACAATTTTAAATATATATATATATATATATATATATATATATATATTGTTAGTATATGCAGATTGGAATATATATATATATATATATATATATATAATAAAATTTTTATGTTCCAAGAGTCAACGACTAACATCGATTTATTCTTTGTGTTTTTATAAATGAAACATTTGCTTCTTTTCCAGTATTGAATTAATTAAAACATTATAACCTTGAAAATAAGAAAATGGTAAAAATCATGTGTATTGGCTAAAAAACAGGGTTTTTTACTAACAAATATTTTCATGTTATATTTTTGAGAAAATATTTCATTACAGCTAATAGAAATGTATGTTTTCTGAGTAATATGAGACCAAATTCAACTCTCCTGCACAAATATTAACAGTGTTACGGAGTTTTCCAGATTAAAAAAAAAATTTAACCAAAACAGGCTTTTTTAAAAGTTAACCAATTATATATTTATGCATAACTTATTAAGTTAGTTAGAATTTCTTTTAAATATTTATTATTTGTCATTATTGTAACTTTAGCAATCATTTGTCACCATTGAATAAGTGAAAATATTTGATGGCTTTGAAAACAAAAAAAATATTAAAAAACAGGTTTTTTGGCCAAAAATATGTGTTTTTGGTAATAACTATTTTTCTTGGTATTTTGTTGGAGAAATGTTCTATTATAGCGAATAGAAACATGAGTCTTCCGAACAGTTTGGTTCCAAAATGAACTCTGTATGACTAATTAGTAAGCGAAATACAGAATTTTTTCCCAAAAAAATGTATAGTTTTACACAAAAAAAAAATCAACCACTTTGATCCTGAGATGAAAGAATTTCGCTTGGGATCCACTAGATTTGTAATCAGCATGGTCAAAATACCCTAAATCAAGTGGATCCCAGCTTCTACCCAAAAATGCCAACTGAATTTTTACAGAGGACAATTTTTGAGGAATGGAACCAGTCTATGAAGTTGACTGGGTAAAACATAACCGAAGAAAGAAGCTTGTACGTGCCCTTGCAAAAAGGCGCAAAACTCAAAAAGAAAATGAGCACTTATAATCCTAAACACGATGCAACAATATTTATTAACTGGTACCAGTATGTGTTAAAGAGAGCTCCTGCTGTTTTTATTTTTTTTGAATGATCTTATCTTATCAATCCTCAAAGAGACTGGTGACATTGTAATCTTGAGAGTAGATTCAAGGTTTTTGGTTTACAATGAATTTTTAGCTTTTGTCTTCGTAGCTACGTCTTGGTGTTTCAGAATTTTGTAGGACGGTTATGTAAAAGTATTGGACACTACTTTTGAAAATGAGCTTTTCCAAAGTCTATCTTTTTTTGGCAAAAACAGTCTCACGACCCTCATAAATGTTTTGGTGACCCAAATTCGGGTCGCAACCCATAGTTTGAGAAGCAGGGGTTTAAACCACAGAGGCCTGTACGGTAACATTACGCTAAGTCCACTAGTCTTCCTTTGTACAACTTGAAGGCTCACACACACACACAGATACATTGATGACGTCAGTGTACAGTTTAAAGAATATTATTAAAACAGGCGACACTTACTCTGTTTGCAAGAGATGCCTTTAAATCCATTTGAAAATGTAAATGGCATTGTATCATTAACACTGGAACCATTCAGATATTGGATATTCTGACAGTAATACGCATCTGTTTTAATAAATTAATTATATTATTCACATCATTAAATATATATGACTTTGATATGATACAAACACTTAAAATAAACATTGTAGTTTTAATGATAGACATTTCTTAACACAGACTTTTCCTACACGAACATTACGTAAATATATATCAACTTTTTTGTAAAGAATAACAGAATTTCCTTCTCCCTTTTCTAAAGCCATGCTCTGGAGAAAAAATTGATATGTTGTAGAACTTATATTTAAAACACTGAAGAATAGTTTGATGAAACACCCGGGACCAATTCAAACGGTTAAATATTTAACAACAAGAGGGAAATGGGTGATTACGCACATTTTTTCCCAGTTTTAGAAATACTCAGTTTATAAGTACTAAATTAATTACGCCGTCACCCTCTGTTATACCAAACCCTTCATCCTACACAGAAATTACTTTTGTTTGCCATCGCACATAAAAAAAACGTGGATGCAGGTACCTAACATAAAACTAAAAGGATCCACTGAGTGTCGAGTAATTTTGCTAGCGATGCAATCGGCTAACATTCGTAACCTCCTGCATTTTATCGGAAATGTTCGCCAGATTAATTATGAGCGTTGATTGGTATTTGGCTTGTGTCAAATGGTACCGAGATTCCCAGTCACTTACCTCAGTAAACCATTCGATGACAGTAGCTAATTTCAGTAGCCACAAAAATAGTAAACATTCAAATAAATAAAACTTTAAGACACAGACAAAATGAGGCATCCAAATAATTCGTCATGGATGTGTATAAAATATTATGATAATTAAAAAAAACCGATTAAACATTAAAAGCAGGAAAAAGAGCCCATGGCAATATTCAATATTTTAATACAGATCATGTGATTCCAATTTATAATGTTAACCCAGTACTACTGTAAATATTGATAATTATTGTGATATTTTATGTGCTTCGGATTGCCGGATGAAGCTCTGATGAAGGAATTCGATGCCAAATCTGCTAGTGGTTTCGGTGGTATCACTGGTGTAATGATTAAGGAAATTACATCCGTTATTTCACCGTCTCTTGCCATGATCTTCAATAAATTTATATTACAAAGCCATGTTCCTGTAGATTTTACAGTCTTAAATATAGTGCCAATACATAAAGATGGCGATTGTTCCTCAGCCTCTAATTATAGACCCATTTCTTTACTGCCAATTGTAAGCAAATTTTTGGAAAGCACATTTATACCACTCTTCTTGAAAACATTGTATTGGTTGGTGGATTTATAGATGCACAATATGGCTTCAGGCGCAGTAGATTAACTGTCTTCGCTCTAGTCACTGCAGTTAATGAATTGCATGGATTACTTGACTCGGGCAGTGATGTTGGTCATATTTTCTTTGATCTGCGTAAAACTTTTGTTTCAGTTCCGTTCCAGTCTCTTCTTAATCATTTATATGGATGTAACCGGAAATAATCCTGCAATATTTTGCCTTCTTACTAGTTACCTCAATAATCGTTTCCAGCATGTTGTAATTGATAGATGTCATTCTGAATGGGTTCCTACTATCTCTGGTGTTCCTCAGGGTTCCATTCTGGGTGCCCTCCTTTTTCTTTTTTACATCAATTCTGTGACACAAGCCCCTATCGCACTACTGTACTTAATTTGATCAAATTAACCGAGTCACTGGCTAAATTGACCAAAAAAAATCCAATCCAAACGTCGGTTACAATTCCTTCAGGGTTAAATTAACCAAGCCAAATGGTTAATTTTACCGACCTCAGCCTGCCCAGTAAAAATTACCACGGTCTCGGTTAAACTAACCACGCTGGTCAAGAAGTCCAATCCGAACATGCAACACGGTTAAAACTTCTTCCATGTTGACACCGCTCGAACAAAACTGGAAGTTGAAGTCACAAACTAGCGCCCTCAATAATATTTTTTATACACAATGTTAAATCTTGGTAAAACTATGGTAAAACTAACCGCGTGAATAATACAAGTGCGAACAATGGTGAAATATACCCATGACCTTGGTTAAAGTTACCCTGGTTAAATTTACCATTTTTAAAATCCAGTGCGAACAAGGCTTAATACTCCTCTTTCTATATCCAAACTTATTCTACTTGCTGGTGACATGGTGCTACTCCAACTTAAACTTGACACTAAAGAACCCTTTCAGAATCACATCAACAAAGTTAGCTGTTGGATCTCTGAAGCAATTTAAAACTGAATACGAAGAAAACAAAATTCATGTTACTATCTCGAAAGTCTAATCGTCCAATCCTTTAAAATTAACGAAACTGATGAGATCGAGGAAGTTCACATTTATAAATATCTTGGAATCAATATCTCTCATGATCTGTGTTGGTCACTTCATATTGATATTATTAGGGACTTTTAGATTTGCACGTCGACATAGTGGACTGCTACGTGATGAGGTCATTTTAAGGCACTGCGCATGCGTTACGTCGTATCCCTCGTCCACTACCAAAATCGTTTTTCCCGTCGTCCTAAATCTAGGACGCCATGCTCGCTTGTGAAGTTTAAAGATGGAAGATGAAAATATAGTGACAACGCTGCCTTCACTAGTTCGTTCAACTAAGGCAGAGACAGAGTCTGGGGGAAGTTTCTAACTTGTGTTGAATTAATCTGTATTATTTGCTTTTTAATGCACAGGCAGTTATGTAATTTCTACTGCCTTCCTAAATACAAAAAAGGATGTGGAAGTTCATGAGTGTGCTTACGCCAGTGTGCGTGCAATGCAAACTTGCAACGCAGCGAGCACAGCCGGCCGGGGAGGCCTGTTAACTATCTGCATCATCGCAGTTGACGCACTGGATGCGCCCTGAAGTATGCATTACATTCATCATTGTTGTACTTGTCTAGATCAAATTTCTGGTCATCTCGGTACCTGAATTCGGCATTTTTGGGTTTATTTGTATTGTATAAAAACATGAATTCCTCATCGTCCAAGACACCTGTAGAATATGCAAAGACGACAATTTCGCGAAGTCGATGAAGGTTCGCCATGACACAGCTGCTTAATAAGGTTGCCTAGCGCGCGCTACAATCTGAAAGGTTTTCATTTGTAGTCAACAGGTATAGTTGACTACGTTGACACGCATGACTAGTCGACGTGAACCAGGTCCACGTCCACACAATCTAAAAGGCCCTATTTGTTAAAATTCAAAACAACTTGTTGATAATATTTACAGGAAATTTTTTAACGAATACAACTCTAAGACACTCATAAAACTTTATACTACCTTGGTTCGACATAGATTAGAATATGCTCGCCAAGTTTTTGACCTCGCACTGTAAACACATTAAACAGCTTGAATAAGTCTGGGTGTAATAAAATGAATATTATGACCCTTGAACCCAGATGTTTGGTACTCAAACTTGTAAAAAAATTTTCAGATTCGTAAATAATATTCATTAGGCCAAAAAAAAATTGTTGTGTTGCCCTTTAAATGGAAAAAATTGAGATCGTCGGTTGGTCGGTTGGATTTTTTTCTTGTTTTTTTTTGTTTTTGTTTTGTTTTTGTTTATTGTTTGTTTATACTCCGGACTGTTGGCCTATATGTTTTTGAATAAATACCCTAAACATTGTGCTAGCGAAGAAGTATGCATATTGATCTGTATCAATTCACTCTTCAGTTTGTGTACGCAGCAATTTCTTAATAATCCTTTTAAAACATTTCATAGGAATAGATGTCAATACGACATGTGAATAATAATCGAATTGTTTGTTTTTACAATCTAGTAATAATCTAAGATCTACTGGCCATTGATGAAGTAATTGAACAATAAAAGAAAGCAGCAATTTTAGTTGTGGTACTTGAAAATTCTACATCACATTAATTAAGGATAATTCTATCCTCATCTCAACAAGAATTAACTAGATCTGAACTAAAGACTCAAGTTGTTGAAATCATGTGTGTCAAAATGTGAAAAAAATATATTAAGATAATGAAGTTTCTGTTTTTTCTTTGATTGTTAGGTATTCAGAGAAAGAGTAGAGGTATATGAAGTGACCACCTTAGTTCTTAGAAATTTAATTATTGATTTTTATTATTTGATTTTGCAAATTATGTATTCATAGTGATATTTACATCATATCTTACCAACTTTAGCAGAAATAATGCATCTTCACTTAAATAACACGTACACACATCTGGCCATAATGTTTAAAGTAGATTTGTCATAATACAACATAAAAAAACATGGTGTACTTACTCTGTGTACAATTTATACCGACAAATACATCGTAGCAACGACAGAAATGAAACCCTGGACCACATTCAATGCAGACATGAGTATCATTCAAACATGTACCATCTTCACATACATACTCACCTGTTTAAAATTTAAATGTCATCATATTAGTTTATCTTAATTCAATTACTTTATAATATTGTCTTTATTCTCCTAAATGCTGCTCTACAAATTATAGGAAAATAAAAAATGAACAGGAGTCCCTCCAGATAGAGATTCTGAACTGTCACACATATGTTTAGAAAGGAAAGTTTCTCTCATTATCACGGTTTTTGTGTTTTGTCTGTTGATGTTGTGTTTTAAGTTGTTAAGCAGTACACGTTTTTTATATTACTATTCTTCTCGGTAGTTTTGGTTATTTTTGTGAGCTACTTTTAGAAGTCTGATAACTAGTCCCAAGAATTGAAATGTCGCCACGATGAAAGGGAGGTACCTCAACTTTTCCTGCTCACTTCATCATTTACTTCATCTGAATCTTTGTATGGGCCATGAATCACCTCCTGTTTGCTTCATGATAGTTATTCTTTTTCATGAAGAATAATGAGCTTGACGAGACCCAAGTTTTCACATCTTAAGTCAGGTAGAGATGTTTTGAAAATTGTTAAGGACTTAAACATTGCTTGCACTAAACATAGAGGTGTACTGCAAAAAAAAATATTTGTCCGGCCTGGACAAGATGAAATGACATTCTAAAATCTGCATCTTACTTTCGATCGCCACCAAATTTGGAGAGTCAGTGTGTAAACATTTGAAGTATATCAGTCAAGCAGTTTTTGTGTCTATGCCTCCCTTGGGGCCTAAAGGACACGCACACAAACACACGTTATTGCAATCCTTCACCTCCTTCAGAGAGGCAAGGGTAATAACAAGAACAATAAAAATAACAATAATAACTAGATTAAAATTCGTCATCGACGAATTAGGTGATACACGAACCTATATTGATCTGATGATCGATATTTTGATAGTTGGTGAATGATTGATCATAAAGTAGGCTGCTGGTATCAGAATCAAACCAGTGGTGGCGCCAGGACCTGTCCGACGACGGAGGGGCTAAGCTTCCCCGGCGGGGGGCTATAGCCCCCCCCCCTGGCGCCACCACTGAATCAAACCAGGCATTTAAAAAGAAATTTGTCAATACAGTGTCAGTCTGTTGACACAAATGTGCATATGAATGAACTTGTACAACTCATTAGATGAAAGTGCAGTGCTGTATGAAACAGGGACCCAAGAAAAAAAGAATACAAACCTGCCAGAAAAATCTCCAATAGCGCATTGTACAAAAAGACAAAAACAATACCCATTTCACTTCAAATCCATAACGCAAGATGGAAGTTGTTTTGCCATATACTCAGACAGGACCCATATACATCAGCAAACGTCGCAATAAACATCCACTTCAACAATAGCACTGATGCAAAATTGTTTGAGAACGACCAAGAACTAGTACTACCCTACGAACAAATCTATCTAACGACCTCCTAACCCAGTCTTACCTGTAGTCTTTTTTTCTTCTTCGGGGGTTAGCTGTATACTCGTTACATTGTCGCTACAATCTGTATAAAAAAAAATATACAAAGACCTGTTATGTGTCTGCTGGTATGGGTTTTCCTTTATAATTAAGATAACAGTTAGACTAGCTGTAAATACCACTTAATTTTAACCATTTATTTATACTATTTTTTCATTATTTCTCTGTATTTTTTTGGAAACCATGCAGCGGCTCTACTGACTATATATAATATCTGTCTCTTATACACATCTAGATGTGTATAAGAGACAGTATACATACACGTTGTTAAAACATATTAGCCAATGTACCTCATCTTATGGTGTACATTGGCTAATATGTTTTAACAACATATCACTATTTATTTTATAGTGATCTTAAATTGGAGGGAAAATTATCAGTTGAGCCCAATAAAACCATGGCCTTTGGTCTCTAGATAGAGGGATTCCTTAAGATGTGTATAAGAGACAGGAACAAAAAAGGGCGTGAACCTAATCAAATATATATATATATATATATGTATATATATATGTATATATATATATATATATATATATATATATATATAGATAGATAGTAAGTATTTTACATAAATTGAGAACTGATTTAGTATAATTAGGTACATAATATCCCATTTTTTCAAATTACGAATCTTGTGTGGGTTCATTACGTAGACGCTTTCAACTAAATGTGTGATGACGTGCCAGGTACAATTTACTCTACAGAAGTTTCATTCAGTTGGCATTCTGGCAACACTTGGTTCGAACAAATTCTGTCTTGGTAATGATACATGTATACAAATGGAGCAGGGATTAGAAGCCGCTGAAATGTGGTTCTACAAAAAAAATGTTAAGAAAGGGGAAGCAAAACAATACAAACACTTTAAATTCAAAACAGGAAAGGTTTGCTCAAGAGAGTGATTACACACAACATTGTTATTTTTGTATTTCCTTTTGACACTGATAATTTTTGGGATTATGGCTTTACAAAAATTATCATTTGGAGAAGAATGCAACATATGAAAGGTGTGATGAAAGAAGCGACGATAGTGGATGTAACACCAGATATTGCTTCAAAGTTGCGGAGTGAATGGGTGTGCGTGAATGTTTTTGGAAGGAGAAAGCTATGACATGTGTGGCTGAACCGTGTTCGGTTGAATTATGGTAGGAAAAGAAAACAATCAACAACTGTCGGGGAAAAAGAAGTGTACGGTATTATTTCTTTAATTTCTTTTTTTTTGGGGAAGAAACCTCTCAAAACTGAGCTGTACTATCTTTTTGATAATGGGTAAAAGCTGACTCAAAGGTCTTTCAATAGAGATGTTGGCAGTGGTTGGATATTACAGGACTTGTTATTCGATGATGAAATGGTCTTCCTAATATCATCATCAGTGACAGGTTCCCATTAATCAAAGCAATGTCAACATCATTAACTTGTTCAGCAATAAATGCTGACCAGTGGTACAGTACCCTGACTTTAACTAAAAAGCCTGTGAGAATCTTTCAGCAAGATCCGACCCACATGATGAGAATTTAGGACCATTACATGCATTTAGTGAGTTCAATAATAATCCTAAACAGCTGCTTTTGATTATGTACTAATCTTGGGCTAAGTATTTAGATTTTGAATTATCTAATAGGTCTTTGTAATACTTGCAGGCACCCGGGTAAATTTCTTTGTGAATTATTAAATTTGTCTTTCTCCACATACGTTCACATCTACATTTGACATGCTAGGAGTCTCGTAGCTCTTTACATTGTGCTCTAGCTTTTAGAACTGTTTGTTTTGGTCAGTTAGGTCTGCCAAAACCGTCCATCTTTGGTGTCTATTAAAGTCCCTATAATTATATGGATTTTTTTTTTTGGAATTTAGACATGAAGTCCTGTTCCTGTTTGGAAACAGCTGTCCAATTAAATAATCAATAACATCGCTAACATTATCATTAAAATATACACAAAACACACCAAAAACATCATCTTATGGTGTACATTGGCTAATATGTTTTAACAACATATCACTATTTATTTTATAGTGATCTTAAATTGGAGGGAAAATTATCAGTTGAGCCCAATAAAACCATGGCCTTTGGTCTCTAGATAGAGGGATTCCTTACTTTGGGACAATGTTAATTTATAGGATTATACCAGCGGTCACAGTAAAGTTGTCTTTAATTGGAGTTGGTCCTTACTGGAGGAGTCTTTAATTGGAGGGGTCTTTCAGTTGAGGGAAACCGGTATACAATTTTTAACAACAAAATCACTGGAAATAGGCGTTTTGCCCAAATATCATGCAATTATGCTTAATGGTAATATGGTAGCATTCGGTGAGAATGATTCACTTTCAGATGAGGTGCAACAGGTCTAAATTTGGGCACTTTCCCTTTGGAGTATATTACAGACATTGATTTTTTGCTAATTTGTTTGTTATTTTAGGTATTTTTAGTGTTAATAATTAAGATGTATTATACTCAGCAAGTATATGATTCAGTTTTCCATTTAATTGTCATGTCAGGATCACTAATTGGTCAAATCCTGATGGAGAATAATTGAAATATCATTTAGTATAATTTTGAAAAGAAAATGGAAACAAAATATACCGTTTTAACAAAAACTGACAAATGTTTGTTTTTTTTATACAAACCTACCTAAAAAATAAGTTCGATACCAAAGGATAGACTGTATAATCTTTCAATCCACCATAATTTTATTTCATATATTATGAATGTTTTATATCTCCGATGATTTCATAGTAAAATGTTTTTTACCTCTGACCTGTTGACTTGACTTGACTTTATCATTGAAGTACAACAAAACCATACTATTCAATTGAAAAATTTTAAAACACCAGGTAAATTCATTAAAAATGTGTAAGATACAATAAAATAGGGCAAAAAAAAAAAAAAAAAAATAATTGTTAAAATATAAAAAAATTATGAGCAAAAAGCTTACTCAGTCAGTTATATATTGTCAAACGGGACGTTCCAAGACCCCAGGTGATAAACTCTCCAAAACTTAATACCAACTAAACATGGTCATTTTCTGGAGAAAAAAAATGGCTCCTGGCTCCCGGGCGCGATTTTTTTTCCGTACGAAACACTTACATGGAACTCCACTCGGGCCGTCTCGACTGCAATCGACCCGAAAATCTCATATTGCCGAATTAAGGCGGTCAAAAGGTCATCATTAGATAAACGTCTACAAAACAACTTCTGAGAGAACGTCGCTGTCTAATTTTTAAAAATACATTGATGTTACCATACTAATACTAATGGGTCATTTAAAATGACATATAATACGGTACTTGATTGTGCTGCACGAGTAATGAAAAGTGATATTTTAACTTGAGTTACATATTGTGACAATTTTTAGTTAGGTCTGGGTTTTGCATAATTATTTAGGCCTACTAACTACGTTTTCTGGGGAAACAGGGAGTCTGGGGGAAAGCAGAGAGAGAGTAAGGAAATTAAAGCGCGTTTCTCGGGGCATTTCTTCATTAAATGAAACAGGGTGACAGTTATTTTCAAATTATGAGAAGAGCTGAGAATAGGCAGCTCTAAAATACTGGATGCCATAAGACCTGCCAAAATGGCAGAACACCAATGAATGTATAAATGAGGCCTACCGTAAGTGGAACTTCGACAATGGAGGAATTAGATAACAATTAAAAAATCGACGTTAAGGATAAATAACACAAAAGATATTCCCCTTGGGCTAGTTATTAATTATAGTCCTAGTAAATAGTATTACAAGGCTTAGGCCAAGGTAATTAATGCTGAAATTATTATTATTATCATTATTATTATTTAACATGAATTTTACATTACAAGGATAGTTTGGCCAAGTTCAATAACGCCGGAAAGGTATATTTTATTTATTTAATAATATTTCTCTTATGCACTCTATTATTTATTTTATGCTTCAATTTTTTCCATTTTTTTGTTTTCAAAATTTTAATCAACGTCTGTATGTGAAGCGTGACTGTTGGTATCAGCCTAGGACCCTAGGGACCTAGGCCTA